CCCCGGCAGCTTGGTGGGGAACCGCCGCCGCCCCTGCGGCGCTCCCTGCCCCGGGAGGTGATGGGCTGGCCCCAGGCGCGGGCCCGAGGCCCCTTCCTGGAAGAGGGCCGGGGCCTGCGGGGTACGGGCCGGCGGCGTACCGTCCCCGAGGAGGCAGGGAGGGCATCCGGGACGGGCCGAGGCCCTCCGAGAACGCGTGAAGTGGCACTAAGAGGGATGTTGGTGACATCTAGTAGCTGGCAGGGGCGGCGTGTGGCTCAGCATACCTTCCCTGCGGGTAGCGGCACGGGGCTGGCGCACAGGAATTCATTTTTAGGCCTGGGAGGACAGACGGAGGAAGTACACCAAGTAGATCCCAACGTGGCTGCGTAATAAAGGTTTGAATAGTCAAAAAGGATTGTATTTACATAGCAAAGTACCTCAAATGTCAGGCTTACCGAGCACACCAAAACCACAGTGTAGAGTGAAGAACACGAGGCAAGCAACCAAGGGCTGGGTATCCAGCAGGCCAGTGGCATCATGGAGGGAGGCAAAGGCTCTCCAGCAGAGACATCATCCAGAGCCCTGGTGGCCAGAGATGGAAGAAAAGTTTGTCTCCATCCAGCATACCCATGGACAACACCAATACGAGCAAAAATAGTGATTGTTCTCAGACGACTGAGCAGCTCGTATCACAAAAAGTTGTGCTTTAACCCCAGCCAGCAACTAAGCACCATGCAGCCGCTCACTCCCCTCCCTCACAGTGGGATGGGGGAGAGAATCAGAAGGGTAAAAGTGAGAAAACTTGTGGGCTGAGATAAAGACAGTTTAATAAGTAAAGCAAAAGCTATGCGCGCAAGCAGAGCAAACAAGGAATTCATTCACCACTTCCCATGGGCAGGCAGGTGTTCAGCCATCTCCAGGAAAGCAGGGCTCCATCACACGTAACAGTGACTTGGGAAGAAAAGCACCATCACTCCCAATGTCCCCCCCCCCTTCCTTCTTCCCCCAGCTTTATATACTGAGCATGACGTCATATGGTCTGGAATATCCCTTTGGTCTATTAGGGTCAGCTGTCCCAGCTGTGTCTCCTCCCAACTTCTTGCGCACCCCCAGCCCCCTCGCTGGTGGGGTGGGGTGAGAGGCAGAAGAGGCCTTGACTCTGTAAGCACTGCTCAGCAATAACGGAAACATCCCTGTGTTATCAACTGTTTTCAGCACAAATCCAAAACATAGCCCCATACCAGCTACAGTGAAGAAGATTAACTCTATCCCAGCCAAAACCAGCACAAAAGTTCATCAAATAATCCCTCTGATGGCTGCCAACAAGCTGAAGGGTTCTGCGCAGCTTCAGCAAACTTCTGAGCCCCGTAACCACGTCCTGTTTGTGTAACTGCACAATCAAAGCATGAATGGGCAATCACTGTAAACAGCCAGCTCAAACAAAAGGGCAACTTCCCTTCAGGTCTGAATCATCAGAAACTGAGCAAACGGGGCTGGGAACAGGACACTGCTTGTGTGTGACAAGGACTTTGTGCACACATTCAAACAAGGTAGCTCTGCTGGGGAGTTCAGCCTAACAACCAAACTGCCTGCATGTACACAAACCCATGGGGCATCTTTAATAGTAACACATTTTAAAATTACATCGAATTGGAGTCTTCCCTGTTGGTCCTGCTTCTCTTCCCCATGCCGGCTTTGGGTCATTAATTGGGACTGGATGTGGTGGCTGGTGCCTTATGCTGTCTGGAGCCTTCCAAGCTGGCAGTCCTGCTACCGAGTCAAGTAAGAAAAATGCCAAGAGCACTTTTAATCAGGGTTGGAAGTTGTAAGACTTTCCAAGAAGGTACCAGGTTTTGTTCCTTTACAGGAAAGCCTGGTTTCCTATGGATTTCTCTCTTGTGTAGCTAACATTTTTAGTGAATTATACTACAATTTTCTGTTGTTGCCCATCTTCTCACCTAGTACTGCAACAGGGTTGTTTTCCACTGCTCTTGTCAATCCCACACCTCCTATGCATCTCTTGGCAAAGAGGGATGAAAGGCTTAAACAGGAAACTTTAGAGGTAAATAAAATACTCAACTCCAAGCAGCAAGCAGTAGCTCTGGGCTTGGAGCTCAGCTCCAAAACTTCCCCTGGGGTCAGACTGTCCCTTTGCTAAAGCACCCTTCTGCCAGCTGGTCCCTGTAGCCGGCAGAGCTACCCACGGGATTAATTCACCTGCTGCTTTTGAACAGGCAAGGTTTGGAAACCTCACACTACTTCTGATGTGTTGGTGATGACGAACTCATGCCTGCTCCTCCCAAAACGCCTGCTCCTTCCTCCTGCCCGCATAGCTGCTGCTCAGGGTGGGAGTGAGGATGTCAGGGTAGCGCTAGCCCTGGCCTTTCACGAGCCTGGGGACTGCTGCCTCTCAGTGATAGCTGTGGTCTGTTCTCATGCTGACTTTGCTGCCAGCCTTTCTGCAACAATTCAAGATTTCTGGTGGCTTTAGCATAGGGTGTGTTTTGAATTAATTTCTCTTTCCTCCTCTACATTTAGTATGGAGAAAATAAATCACAGATTCATAAAAATGGTTTTCTGGGTTGGGTTTTTTTTTCAACTTCTTTGGTTCATTTTGTGGCTTCTTGCTCTTTTCCCTCTTTCTGTTGCCTTTTGGGTTGCTGGACACCCCTCAATTGCAGAAGAGCAGACAACAATCCTGCGCCGGCTCATTGCTCTGTCAAGCCCAGCACAACGGAGTCTGCTGTCCTTCCTTGCCACACCAGTCTCCACCAGCATGGGGAGCTGGAAATGCTCAAATACTAATCCCAAGTAGTCCTGGCCCTTAAGGCTCCCCCCAGTTCTGGGGCAGAGGCGAAACTGCTTTTCTTCCAACGTTTTCTGCTTTCCTCTCTTATTGCCCAGCCAACATCTGATCCCGGTCAGGCAGTCTGATCCCACCTACTAGAAGGGACTTTGCAGATTCCTCTTTACTAGGAGATGCTCCCTTCATCCCAGAGAGCAGTACAGCCACAGTAGCTTTGCCCCTCACTCAAATTTGGCCCATCTCTTGACAGGGCAAACATCATGTCTGGAACTGCAGTCATACCGGTGACTGCTGGGGGGACAAAAGGCTTCAGGAAGCAACCTTCTCATGTTTCTGGGGCAGTTTTCAAAATACCTTCAAGTCACAGCCTCTAAGGACTTCACTTCTCAGAGGTCTCCATGTCAGCCAAGATTAAAGTAATCTTTTTCCAGTATTCTCAGGAAAAGTGTTGGATTTTGTCCCCAAACTGGAAAATTATTTTTGGCTCACAGTAGCAACAGAAACAGTCCGGATTGCTACTTTTCTTTGTCAAGCTTTGAAAAGTCCTCTCTGAGTAGTAAAGCATTGTAAAACTCAATCCAGAGAATAAACAATTTTGAAAATAAAAAGAGAGAGGAAAATACTTTTGTTGTGGTTTTAGTGCCAGGGATAACTATGATCTGCTGTTTCTTACCAGATGGACATGAACTTCTCTAAGAGATAAGAAATGGAAGTAGAAAAGTCATTTTCATCATAGTTATTCATGAGGTCAGTCCCCTTAGAATTGCTGAAAGGCAAATCTCAATTGCAGCTTCTGCCATTTGGCCTGTAGCTGTGAACAGATAGATGTTAACTTGGTGTAGGCTGCAGGGAACTGAAGACTGGGATGTGTCTTATCCAGAAGGTATTTTCCTCAAGATTCACAGTTAGATCTCTGTCTGATGTGGCAATAGACTAAACGCTTTCCACTGGAGCTCGGACATGTCTAAAAATGCCATGAGATGCAAAAAAGATCAGGCACAAATAAACATTAACCTAAGATCACAGGGAGCAGAGCCAGAAAATACCTGGCCCTGTTGAGCTTGAGGTCAGGATTTCTCCTCAGGATTTTCACCCCCTCACCCTATGGTTTTCATGTCCTTTGCATTCTCTTTTCCTTTGCTTTCTCTCTTTGCTGAGGTTTGTTGGTTAGATTTCCCTTTCGTGGTCCTGTCTGCAGCACTTTCTCACTGCCTGTCTCCCTGCTGTCTCTTGATTTCTACTTTCTCTTGTTAGGACTTCCTTATCTCACCTGCTGCCTTTCTCCCTTGCTTCTCTTCTACCTCGCCTGTGACTTTTGCAGGTGTCCTTCTGCAGGTTTCAGTCTCTTCCCACCCCTGCCCGAACATTAAGACAGCGGGATTGACCCATGTGTGCTTTTCTGTATCCCACATTGGATCGTATCCTAGTCCTCTTCTCCAAAAGGGTGAGTTCTGGTCACCAGCACCAGAGAAGATGCTTTGGGCTGCATCTGCTGTGAAAATTGACGGCTGGTCCCCATCCACAGCAGCCCCTTATGCAGAGAAAGCGTTGCTTGTTAGGCAGATGCTGTCTCCCTGCAGGGGTTGCTGCTGGCCCCTCACACAGCACCCTGTCACGGCACTTTAGGAGGCATTCCACCTGCAGCTTTCTGCCTTCTCTCTCAGGGACAGACCTGGTCCTGCAGACCCAGGGCACTGTGAGGTACTGTGGTCTCTCATCCCAGGACCACCGCTGTGGTCTGATCTTCTGTTCCAAAGAGAAGCAGCGAGTGATCTGTCTATGCCTGCAAACATCATCCCATGCCAACATCACCCACTACAAGACAGCAGATCGTCACTGGAGGAGTTAGTCGAGTCCTGCCTTATCCTCAGATGACTCTTGCCTCCATGTGCCTTTCCTTCACCATCTTCCTCTGGTCAACTCTGCTAAACAGGGTCAGGCTGCAGTACTGTATTAGGGAAAAAAACCCTAGACATGCTTAGGCAAAGGCACAAAAATTGAAAAGAGTACAAACTTCCCAGCCTAGCTGGCTAAATCTGCTTTTTCTAGGCTTTGGTAACCAGCGAGGCCTTTGTTAGACAGTGAAAAAAATACATGGAATCACTCCCATATTAGTTTTGAAATCCGCAAATGAGTCTTACTATAAAATGATTGGACTCCTTTCAAGATTGTTCTCCAAGTCAAACCTGAAAACAGAAGCTTAGGAACAGTCAGGGAGCCCTGTTTATGGTGATATATGGCAGGAAGGTGAAACTGGCCGCCTGAGCCCAACAGATGTGCCCTCTGTCACCCACTGAGGCAACACAGCAGCAAGGTCTCTGCTAATCTGTCCTGTGGCACCAGCTATCCCAGGCTTGAACATGACCAAAAGATTGCCAGGTATAGGAACATAGAAGATAGGATTTCTTATAACACATCATTATAAACTCTTCCAGTCTAGCATGCTGCCACAGAAAAACCTGGGAACTTAAGCTTCAGAGAAAGGCAAAGAACAAACTGAAACAACCACAAAGGAAAATCCACAAGTTACCACCACCACCTTGTCCACAAGAAAATTTCCAGCAGGCGATGCATTGCTGTGGGCTGAAGGTGTCATAACTGTAAATCTCATAAATATATATATATAAAATCTATAAATCTCAAAATAACTGGCACTTTCCCTGTTGTCGCAGAAGAGGCATGGTGCCCATCTCTAGCTCTCTCAGGACTCTGGATATCCTGGACCTGTTGTAACAAGCTGCTTCTAGCAGGACATAACCCTTCCCTTTGTGTATTATTATGCATCGTAGTCTCTGGCATTGGAGGCAGAAGATATAAATTCACAATTGGATTTAAATGATCTAACTACAAACTGTTGCTGAAAGAAGCAGTCCTGCCCCCCCCCCCCCCCCAAGCAAACAGCTAGCTGTTTTCTGACACCCAGTTGTGCT